ATTGTCTGTGAAGTCTCCCCCACTGGGAAACAATGTAGGTGACTAATCTCGACAGACCAATCGACGGGGATCCACTTCATCAAAATAGACACTAACTTTCATTGGACAAGACGGTTATTATTATTATTATTTTTTTTTTTTCTTAATTGCTAGTTGTAAGTTTACACTTCAATAGATGCAAAATTCATATGTAGACCTGTTGGATTAACAAAAATGGAGTCTTTATGTATAGAACTCTTCAAGCAAGTAAAAAACGCTTATGCATAGAGATGTCTTGTGCACTCCTCAGTAAGCTCGTTGTCTCCATACTTTTGTTGGGTATGTTTTATGCAGCGTTCAAAAAAACGTTTCATCTAAAATCGTGCGATTCGGATTGGGTATCGGTTAGGTTGTTTGGGATTCAACTATAAAATGAGATCCGGTTGTGTCTCTCCATAATTATTTGTTGGGTATGTTTTATGTAGTGTTCTAAAAAAGGTCGATCCGATATGGAACTAGGCGATCCAGATTGGGTATCGACTGGCTGTTCTGGATCCAACTATAAAATGGGATTTGATTGGCTTAGGGAATTTTTGTATTTTTTTTAAAAAACAGGTTAATTATGATATTGTACAAGTACAACCACATGTATCTCTGTCAGCCTCATGTTTGATCATGCTTTTTAAGCACACAATGGAATATGGTATTAAGGTTTTATTGACGTCAAATTTCTTTTATTTTTTGGATGTGGGATTTAAGTATGGTTCTTAGGCTTAAAAAGGTAATACAATATAGTTATAACAGGTAATACAACAAGTGGTGTTGTGGTATAGTTGGTTATCATGTCCGTCTTGTATAAGTATTTATTGTCAAACAATAAATAAAAGGTAATATATTTTTTTGTCAAAAAAAAAAAGGTAATACAACAAATATTTCTTGTCAATAAATAAATAAAAGGTAATACAACAAGTATCATGCTTTTCAGCCGATTTTTAATAATTTTTTAGATTTTTTTATCGTCGAATTTGACCGATTCGATTGATTCGCAATCCAAACTACCGATTTACTGATTCAGATGAGTTTTTGGGATGCCCCATTTTAGGCACTGATCCGGCTTTTAAACCACTGGTTTTATGTATGGTATCACTTTTAAGGTAAGGTGCATATCCAAAATCTGACAGGAAGGGAGCTTGCGCCCGCTTGACAGCATCTTTACCCCCCTAATCTGAATTTTAAAGCTAAAAAGAATGGTAGAGATCGTGACAACTTCAAAAAAAAGAAAACAAGAAAAAAGAAAGAAAGATATTAGCATTTGATACAATAAAGGTCATAATTATTCTCAGTCATTTGGATTTGGGATCCAATAGGCTGGAATTCGAGACATTTTATAAAACATTTTATCAGACATTTTGATAATTTCACATTTCACACATAATTATCAAAATGATCTTATTATATATAAGGGAAAAGTTCATATAGAGCCGAGGTTTTAAACAATCAAATTTGAGCCTACCTCAAAAATTTCACTAGACGAGGTTGTTTTGATGTCCAAAATATTTTCAAATTGATCTTCTCGACTTCAAGATGCATGTACATGAGAAAAAAATGGATCGCAAGTTTTGGAAATAGTGTATTTTGTGACGCATTTTTAGACCGTCAATTTTTAAAATTTTCAAGTTTGCATAGATATGTCGATTTACACTATTTTTGAAGCTTTAAACTTTATAAATAAATATAAAAATATATTTTAAGGCTGTTACAAAGATTTCTAACATTTCTCGACACTATTTGAAAGTAGGCTCTAATTCGATTGTTTAGAGCCTAGGCTCTATTGATACCGCGCCCTAGATATAATTCATTCGATCGAACATCCAACCATTTTGATCATTTTTTAAAATGCCGCAAATCTTTGAAATAGACGGTCCTTTTCCGTCTAAGAGGGGCTTTTGATTTGGCACACTTTGTAATGGATAAAAAACTCCTGAACTATTTTTGGCCGGGCCGTTTAGGGCCAGGCCAACTAGTTGGAGCAGCCCAGCCCGGTGCCACCCTCATTCCTTGGGCTCTCTTTCTCTCTCTTAAACGTCTAATTACGGTAAAAAAAAATTAAGTAATAACGAGTGTCATTCAAAAACGGGTTCAAGTTACGCACAATTTCAATCTAAGATTGCGATAGCAAAGTTTATTTTTAAAAAAATTAACATATAATAGCAAAGATTCCTTCTTTCTACATTAAGTATCTTTCTAGTGATATTCTCTTATGGGTGCGATTCGTATTAGGTTGCAACTTTAAATAATCAAAGTGAGGTGCACCGCCAAACTTCCTGATAAGATGTAATTTTGGTGTAAAAGTTTTTTAGAAATGCCTGAGAATATAGTTGTAAATCTAATTATGAAATTTCAAACTCCGAAAATGGTTCAGATCAAGTAGATCTATAAACATAATATAGATCTTGCAAGGAGATGGTCCAGTTAATATGTATGTTGTACTATGTATTATTTTTTGGATTTAAAATCTCTATTATTTTACCCATGTTTATACATCTCAATGTCGAGATGATCAACTGGATAACTTTTTGTAATATCAAAGCAACATTTTTAATGGATTATTGAGGTGCACCTTAATTCTACAATATATAAGGTGTCGAGTTTATATAAATATTTTCCATCTCTTAACTTTGTAGAAAAAAAGGGGTAACCTTGCTTGCTGCTCGAACAATGTAGCGAGTAGGGGTGCAACTAGGCCAAGCCAGCCAAGCAGGACTTGAAGGGCCGGCCCATCATGGGCTGGGTCTAGGCCCAAAGTTCAGTTGTCTGGGTGTAGGCCTCGGTAAAAGATTCGAAGAGCCTTAATTATATGAAGGTTTTTAGTTCAAAATTGTACAAATAGGCTAGGCCGGCCTAACGGAACTTGAAGCCCTAACCTGTTGTTTATTCATATTAATGAATGGAAACTAAGTTTTTTTTGGAGAAAAGAGAAACTCGAGACTCATCACATGGTATCAGGGCCATATTCATCTTATCAGTGTTTATTTTTTGACTCTGAATCATTGTCGCCGATTTTCAATATGAGTCTGTTGCTCACTCAGTCCATACAATTTCTATCAAGTTCTGTTTCGATATTCTGGTAAGTCATGTTTCAACTCTCGGATCTGTCTCTCTGTCAAGTCGACTCTATGATCTGTTTTTCTTTATGGGATTCTTTCTCAGTAATTGGTACGCCTTTTGTGTCTCTGCCAAGTCCTGCTTCAAGGTTGGGTCACTTTTTTCTTGTAATCCAAGGGGTCATCAATTTGCTCATCAGAATGATCCAATTCCATACGTTTACTATCTGTAACTCCGGAAGAACCTCTCCCTTTCCCTTCAGTATGAGTATTGGGTGACACCAGTTTTAGCAGAGTCACTCGGTAAACCTTTGGCTTTCTTAGCCGAACCAGCACCAATACCAGGCTTCGAAGTAAATGGTTATGTCACGCTCTGGACCTCTCATGCGCTCATTTCCAACCTCTTTTTTTTTTCTTTTTTTTAACACACTTCTTTCGTCTTCTATATATTTTTAGTATTGTTATTGTAATTTGTTTATAAAAGATAAACTTAAAAATAAAAAATATAGAAAATTCGAAAAAATAAGAATTTATTTGTAACGTATTTTTTAATGTTTTTTTTTATCATTTTGGTAAAGATTGGACAGTGTTCTGGCCATGAATATTTATTTTATAATTTTCCATCTTTTTTGAAAAATTTCAAATATACCCTTTAAACACACCTCAAAGTTTTAAGATTTTTTTTTCCAATTTCATTTAGATGTGTTTTGTTTAGTCATGTTTTATATATACCTTCATATTTTTTTCTTTTTGGATCGTTCAGGACCAACCTGGTTAGGCCGGACTAGTCGGTTTACTAGTTATATGGACCCAGCCCATGACCGGTTTTCGAGGCCGACACGATTTTTCAAACACTGGTTTTGAAATCTGAACCCCTCCAATAGGCTTATCAGGCCGGGCTTGCAATCAAGGCTAACTAAACTTAAGGGACCAGGCCTAGGTCTGGCCCACTTACACTCCGCTTTATATAAGAGCTTTCGATTGGGAGAAGTCCATTTGGCATGCGCAGGTGGTCCCTCGGGAACCGATGGCCCCCACCAAATCCATTCCAAAAGCATTGTTATGGAGTACAGACAATTAGCGCCATGCAATGGACATGCTCATTTTAATAAGGAAAGCTCACCAAAATACGCATATGCCATGAACGTTTTTTATATTTAATCTAATTATGTGTAATGGATGTTTTGAAATTAAATAAAAAATGTTAAATAATTCATCTTGTAGGTATTTGAATGAATTTTCCTTTTTATAATATACATATATTTTATTTTTTGGGATTATAAGGACGAAACTTAATGAAATGAATCTTGGGTGGAATAAAAGAAAAGAACTTTGAAAGGGTGAAAATATCAAATATACCAAAAAAGTACACAATAAGACCCTTTTTGGTAAAGAAGAGTCGGAGTTACTCTTAGTTGTAAAATGAGAAATCAGCAGTTGGGTATGTGCTATTATTCACCTCAAAACAATTCTAGATGCTTGATAATGTTTTTCCATGTCTTTTCCTTTAATGCTGAGTTTTAAGTTTCGGAAATCATGGCTAGCAAAACCTGCTCAGGTAAAGATTGTGCTCCAACATAAACCGAGTTGTTGATCGGTTATGGGTCATTTGGGACCCAAGGATATGAAATCCAGGTTTTGATGGCCTAAAGTTGTTCGGGTGTAGTTTTGTAGATCATATCCTCGCTTTCCGCATCCTCAAAACCACTCATATCCAGCATTTGCTCGATCCCGAGCCCGATTGGTTTGACTATCATATGTGTTTAATTCTGGCTTGTAGTGCCAAAACAATTCACAAAGCATTTATGTTCATTTATAAAAATCATATTCGTCTTGAAATCACTGCAAACACACGCACACACACAGCCACCTTATTTGGCCTTAAGTTACACTAAATGGTAACCATAATATACCTGCTCGGCAAATCCAAACTCACCCTTAGCATCTACCCTTTCATTAAAAGAATTTATCATGTGCATGTACAGGATACATTTCTCCAATATATAGCAGTTATATGTTGATATGTTATGAGTCTGGCTAGCAACACACGAAAAGTTTTTTCACCAATACTATCTTAATTACAGATTAGTAGCTTACTTTGACAAAATAATCACTAATCATGGAACAAACAATATATTGTCCATTCCATTCCATTCCATTGGTTTCTGACGAATTTCAGTCGATGTTCCGTCTTGTCAAGGAATCCGACTAATTGAACGAAGAGAGTCTAGAATGGAGTCCATCACGATGGGATCATTTGTGATTTTGACAAGAGGCAAGTGTTTCGGGGCCTCAGCTCGGTCAAAATAAAAAGCCCCAGGATTCAGTTTCTCCTTTGGTTGTTGAGCTAGCCAAACTACAGTGTCTGCTCCTTCCACATTTGATCTAAGCTTTCCTTCAAGGCTGCAAGTTCCAAAGCACCAAGATCAAATTAATGCACGTGGGTGTGTATATATATATATATATATATATATATATATATAGTATATATATATATATATATATATATATAGAGAGAGAGAGAGAGAGAGTAGT